ACAACTAAGGATATTTTGAGCTAATAAGGTAGTTGATAATGCGTTGGTCTTAGTTTGCTCTCCTAAGCAAGATAATATAGTTACTATTTTCAAGTACAACTACTTCTTTTTCTTTAATTTACATATAAGAGCAGGTCCTGTACTTCATAGCTGTGATACCTCTATGTGCATTTGTCTTAATGTACTGAGCTGACTATTCACTTTTAAAAATAAAGACAGATGTGTTTCTATTTCTTAATTAGGCTAAAATATGCTCATCTCCCCTGTAGATTGATGAGACTAAACTTAGCTGCAGGCCAGTATTTTCAATCTCACACATAGACTTTTTTATTAAGTCCTATGATTTGAGTAACGTAGGTGGTAATGGTGTGAATTTGATGTCTGCCATGGATGCATGCACCTTGTTTGGTGAGTTCTTTATTGGTCTAATTACTCAAGGCACTTGAGTTATCGTACAACTTGAACGATGACATACCTGTTTGATATTCCACATCATGGATTAGGTCTTTTAAATGCTATTATCCTTTTGGCTCATGATGAAATCTTGAACCATGTTGCTTATTCTACAAACAGTGCTTACAATAATATCCATCACCCAAGCAAGTTGGTTATGGGAGCAGACTTTCATTGTTTTAAGCATAAAATTGAGCCAAAGTGGGAAGATCCTGTATGTGCCAATGGAGGGACGTGGAAAATGAGTTTTTCGAAGGGTAAATCTGATACCAGCTGGCTATATACGGTATGCCGAAGCTATTTCCATCCAGCTCTTAATGATAGGTCACTCTAGTAATGTTATTTCCCCTTTGATATAATTTCAACTCTTGTTTTCTTATATGGGATTATTGTAGCTGCTGGCAATGATTGGACATCAATTCGATCACGGAGATGAAATTTGTGGAGCAGTTGTTAATGTCCGGGCTAAGGGAGAAAAAATAGCTTTGTGGACCAAGAATGCTGCAAATGAAACAGCTCAGGTAATTTGCTTTTTATTTTTGGTTTCAACGGCCACGTTTGTCATTTTCGTGGATCAAGCGGACAGACATTTTTCATTGTGTACATACTGTAGTGCTGATGTTTATTCAAGACTAGTTTCTGAGTACGTGCATTGCACGTGTGACCCATGCAAGTTTTTATAGATCCATTACAACGATTAAGTATATATGAAAATATATTATTAGTAATAAAATAACAATTACCAATAAATTTTTAAAAGGGTGACAAAAACAACATTTATAAATTTTGAACTTTGGTTAGTAGTTAGCAAATTTTCAATTATGTCACAAATGGCTAACAGGGCCCCAAAAAAACCCAGACTTACGAAAATAAAAAAATCAAGAAAATTATATTAAAGAAGTCTAATATATAGAGAAAACACAGAAAATGAATAGAGAAGGAAAAATATGCAACATACACATCCTTTCTTAAACTTTAGTCATAACAATATAGAGGAAAACGAAATACAAAATTAATACATAATTTTTTGAAATTTTTGTCGACGCCTTCCATAACCAATCAAAATTGTAGAGTCTTCTTCATTGAGTCAAACTAAAGAATGAATCAAATATTACAAAATAATATAAGTGCTTCACTACTTTGATAATATAATGACAAAGGATAATCTTGGGGGTCTCATAAAACAAAAAATATATGAATTTATATAGACGAAAGCGCAGAAATACCAAAAGATATCTTAAAGTTTCAAATTAAACATTTGGAGGTTATGATTATAAAAAGCATGCAATTTATGAATATTAAGATATCAATTGAATAGGTAATTAGATAAAAAAATACTATTAAATCTAGAGGAACTATGCAAACCTAATTCTCACCTTAATCAAATATGTAGGCATGTTTCCTCAAGTTCGATGATTAAAGTTCAAAAAATTAAATAAAATTATTAAATTCTTATTCAAGAAAATGATTTTTTTTTTATCCTTGTTAAGAATAGAATGTTAATCCTTATTCAAAAAAGAAAAAAAAATTTACTTCACATTTCAATTAATTTTAGAATGAAAAAAAAGATAAATAATTTTTTAGAACATAGAAAATTGTCATATCACTTTTTTAAGAAGAGAAAATTCAAGAATGACCAAACTGAAAAGCAAAGTAAAATTACAACTAAATTTGGACTTTAAATTACCCCTTTTTTCCTGCTTGCCAATGGTTCTCACTTCTCGGTACCGGATTGTTTTCTGAAGGAGAGATAACTCTAACCTTTCACGTAGGAAATCAATTTACAATTGAAAGCAAAGTGAATTAGGAAATCAATTAATAGTCATAAAAAATCTTGATGAATGATCAAAAATTCGTTATATTGATTTTGTTTTTGTAAAGGAATTAATGCATATTCATTTCTTCTGGCCATCATTCGATCGAATTTTTAAAATCATGCCAAAGTATGCACGTCTTGGTTCATAAGTTGTGATGACTTCAACCTTTCATCCAATATTCATGCTATTTGAACAAATCAGTCTTTAAAACTTCACAGTCATGTTGCAGAACTCGTGTTTCTCTTCACAATCTTAATTTTACCTTCAAATTGGCAAAAAGAGAGGTAAATTGAAAACTTGTAACGCAAGAGATGATACCTTGCACACAATAGCTATGTCAACAAAATACCAATTGAAAATTATAGTGTGTATACCCTGAAAAGGAGAGAAAATAAGAGCACATCATACATGAGTTATTTAATAAAGAGTACGTACTATATTTATTGAAAGAAAGTAGTCATGGATCGTGAGTAAATTCCAACTTTTCAGTATAAGTACTCACATATACATCATTTGTAAATGATGAATTGAAGACTTGTTGTAAGGGATGAGAATTGGAGAAAGAACAGGAAGAAAGGAGGTGTATTTTAGTACACAAAGAACTCTGCTGTTGAGTTTTGTTAAACTGAAAACATTAGCGGCTTTGGGTTTATTTGACGGAACAATTATCTAATATAATAATAATTAACAATTAAAGTCATGAAGAAGTAGAAAATGATAAGTTGTAACATCTAACCATGTATTTTTTCTATTTTAATTGTAATTATTGATTTTATTTTAAATGATTTTAATTAAAAAATAAGTGAAGGGCATTTTCGTAATTCAACTTTGAACTTAAAATCTTCCCACTTATAATAATATATGATATATGCTATGAACTACATTGTACCATTGAGGATATTGGAAGTTAAGAAGGGAAGTCATCAGATATATAGCATGGTTTACTACTTTTATTTACATTCTAGGTAAGAGGATATCTCAATCGTTGATACACTGTGCATTTGTCTAACTTTATAGCTTTTGGTAGTGAATTACTATCATGAGAAAACATTACAGCCGGAAGCTAAAAATAAATATTCTTGTGGATGAAGGGAAGTGTTAATTTGTCTGCAATAATATGTTGAATTTTTTTGATTGCAATATATTATGCTAACTTAATTATGGGGTAGTGTTAATATGTATGGAGCACTTTATGATAAACTCATCTGTATGTTTAATAGAAAGGCTAAGCGTTGAAGTAGGGAGGTGTGCCATACATGAAAGAAGGCTTATTAACCGACATTAGTAATAGACATAGGTTATTGTTTTCAGCTCCTCCCAATACGTCTCAGACGTGTTGTAGAACTGGCATTGTTATCTTTAGTACTCAATCATATAATTGCATAATCTAAACTATGATTATTGCTTGGTTGGCAACTCAGGTATGTGAAGCTTAAATAAAAACTTACATATGAAAAGGATACGATTCTGATGTTATTTTCTGGGTAACAATGATATTGTTGTCAAATAGCTTGCTACATTCCTGCTTGATATGCCATTACTAAGTATTTAATGTTGGGAGATTCTGGTATCAGTCCACGATCCGTAGACTATTTTTATTCCAAGGTTAATTCATTTGGTTTTATGCCGGCCTATTAAAATAGGAAGCGCTCCTTATGGGAAATTTCTCCGTAGGGCTCAAACCCAAGAATCATGGTTAAGGGCGGAGGAATCCCCTTGGTGGTACCAAGGGTTAAGTATTATTATTATTTCATGTTCATATGATTGAAACATTTAGATATCCTTGCGAAGTGTAATATTGTTTTGTCTCGTCATTTGTTTTATGCTTCATAAAAATTCCCTTTTCTTTTGCCCCCTTCTCTTCGTTTCTTTTTCTCCAGTATATTTCATTCTGCTAGAAGTATATAGTGGTCGGCGTTCCTTTCTGTGCTTCATTGATGATATTGAATCCTTTCAGCTGTTTACCGGTGGATTACTTTTATGTTGGTGCTTATTGTTAGCTTTTTGTTTTTATATCTTTGCAACTATACTTACCACCTGAAACTTCTCTTTACAGGTTAGCATCGGTAAGCAATGGAAGCAGTTTCTAGATTACAGCGATTCGGTTGGCTTCATATTTCATGTATGAAATCTTGGTTATCGTACGCCTTGAATTCAGTGTCTCTTCAATTAGCAAGACTCACAAGGAATCATCTTCTTTTGCAGGACGATGCAAAGAGGCTCGACAGAAATGCCAAGAATCGTTACACAGTATAGTTCTTGATGCAATGTGGGATTGCAAGAAACACAATTCGTACTGGAAAGTTGGTAGGCACTGGTTTAGTTTCTCATTTGATAAGTTTCTGGTTTGAGTAACTCGTGTATTGGTGTTTGCACTTTCTAATCGCGGAAAATTGTTTGGTTTGAATCCATGCCTCTACAATTCGCGTGTTCTGCATTACTTCCCCAGGCTCCCTATTATTCCTCTGCAGTACAATTCTCTTTGAATATTGTTGATGGAGCTGAAAGTGATACCAAGCACATAACAAATCACAAATGGTACATTATACCAACCAAAAGAATGACAACAGAAAAAACAATTTTTGGACGGCTTTTCGATGTGAAAAGGATAAGCCAAACTTGGTGTTTATACCAAATCTATGATACAAGACATGTCTCGTATATAAACAATATTTAGTTTGGTGTAAACACTGAATACGAGTCGGTATTTTCCGCTCGGCCTTAATCTTTTCATGCATTGGACTCCAAGAGAGGTCTTGTTGGCTCCTCATTAGGTCTGCTGTATCTCCAGTACAAGACTAGTTGTATGATCCCAAGAACTCCTCCTATCCCATTTGGAACCTGATTCATAGAGATCAAAATATTAAATTCTATACACAAGGGTGTAATGTAGATTGTCTACCTAGATGTAAGCAACCCGTGACATATAAGATCAGACGAAAACAACTTTACTGTTACTCCAAGACTCTCCCTTCCATATCTTTCGGGTACTTCTATTAGAAAGGGAAAGAACAAAGGTTATCCAGTTACTTACATAGATAAATGGATCTTGCTTAAACATTCCATAAGCAAAGAAGGAAAGGCTCATTAGAAAAGTTGCAAGGGATAGATAGAATGGCATGTACTCAACACTTCTTGTTCTGATCACCAAATTCTGCAGAAGTAAAAATTACTCTGTTAGTCTCATCGATGAAAAATACTTTAATCACGCGTCGTTCTTGTTGATCGACTTACAATAATGAACAACGGAGAAGCAAACATGGAGATGAGAGAGATGACAGACAAATATCCAACGAAAGTTTGTCGATTTGGAGGTTGAAATAAACAGATGCTGATAGAAACCACAGCAGCAAATGCAGCAAAAACACCAAACAACTGCCCCAACATCTTCAACTGCATTGAACATGTAAGTGTATTAGCATCATTTCTTATTAAAGGATGTTGAAGACATAATTAAGTAAATAATAGGTTCCATTCTCTAAAACATATTAAGCTTTCCGATGAGATAGTCACATAGTTCAGTACAGTATTAAACGTTTGTATGTGGGGTGATCAAATCAACTCATCTTTGAAAGCAAAATGCACTATTTAGGTGAAATGATCACACAATTCAACGAGAGGTAAATGACCTTACCTTTTTCGTTCTCTCTGCATATACGATGAATATGAGTATATAAGCCAACTGAAAAACCGCTCCGACGGAATTAACCGTAAAAACCAATATAATACCAGGAGATACAATTGGTGTTCCATACCATAGACATATTAAGCAATTCAACAAGGCATATATATAAGGCAGCCCAGAAAATTGTTCTGTTGACTTGTTTCTGATGATCCTTCTGAATGTTGGTCTGAAAAAGGGGATCGAAAACGTCAATTTAAACGCGCACGCACACACAGACACACAGTTATCGACGTATTAATATACAATTTTTCGTAAAATTTAGGATACTTGCATTGGTGATACAAATAAAACAAATGCACATAGGTTTCCTGCAATATGTCAAAACCAAATATTATGTCACTAGCATGATTCATAAACAAATTGTACAAGTAATTTCAAAGCCAAAACATTGTGGTGGGATAGATGAAAGTTTTCACCCTTAATTAGAAAGTTCGGGTAGGTCGGGTCTAGTAGTCCTATAAAGGGAGAAATTTCTTGTAGGGAGCTAGAGCGAATTCAGGATTCTTCACCCTTAACCAGAGGACTCGGGTCGGGTCAGGTCTATTAGTCCTATTAAGGGAGTGTTGGGTAACACCAACATCTTGCCTATGGCAAGGTCCATGAGGAGGCTGAGGTGGTCTGGGTCGGAGTCATAATTAAACATGACCCTTGCATGGTGGACTTAGTTAAAAAATAAAGTTGCGTCTTTACTATCAGTTATAGCTTTTGACATAATAGTAAGTTTTTTTATCTAAACAGGGACGAGTATTAAGTGGGAATTGACCCCTAAATCCTCTAGGTAAAAAACTCAACCTTCAACCAAGTGCACCACTTTCTTATAACATGAGTGCTAGCAGATAATATTATATCAATTCTTAAAAAACATATAACTAGTTTTATAGACAAACCATGAGTTCTCCCTTGCAAGAAGCTTAGTCGTTTTCCATGCGATGGACTTTATATATCACGAATCTAAATTAATCGAACCAAAAATCTGCCCAAAAGACTAGAAAGAAGAAGTTACCAGCAATTCCAGCAGCATTACTACAAATTGAATAAGTTGAGAACAAACCACCTGCTCCAGAAATTTCCATTTTTGCTCAAAAGATATGTTTGAAAATTCACATATATATCATATAATATAATAATATAAAGCAAGCTTATATATATATATATATATATATATATATATATATATATATATATTATTTTTTGGACAGCTCAGAGTGGGAAATATTTTATGATAAGTACAACCAAATTATGTAAATCAACAGTTGTCAAATATTGTAGTAAATATTTTATGATAAGTACAACCAAATTATGTAAATCAACAGTTGTCAAATATTGTAGTGGGACCATATTTACGTTTCTTTTACTTATTATATACTATTACTATTATTATTATTATTATTATTATTATTATTATTATTATGTTTCTGTTTATGTTGATGATTTGATTTAGATCGATTTTAAAGAGGAAATTAATTCAATTTTTCCAACGGTGAAAATCAAATAAAATTAATTTAAAGCAATTCTTTTCGGTTTATTTAAGGTTACTTAAATATATAATAATATATTTCTAAATATATATTAGATTGATTATTATTTAGTAGTAAAACACTACTAACTCAATTACTATTTGAAAAAAAAAATGTACAGGTAAATAAATTATATATGTAGCTTACTCCAAAAAAAAAATGCATTAACATATAAAAAATGATTACGATGAATTTTACATTCTTGAAAAAAATATATATCAAAATATTCTGACGATAATTGAATTTAAAGGAGGGTAGGGTTGGGTGGGATTGTACAATTCTAGGACATCTCAAGGTAGACATAATTTAGGTTCTGAATTAAATTTAAGTTCGCGTCGAAAAGTTCTACCATTCACGTTGGGGATAACACATCCACTAACAAAGACAATAGCATATCTAGGGTTCGAGATTTGAAACCTTTGATTAAGGATGAAAAAATACTTACTAGTTGAGGTTTCAAGTTTAAATTTCATCAGAGACAAAAAAATACTAAGTGATTTTTCTCTATCTATCCATATACTGTCCTAGCCTTGATGGACACTGTTACGTAGTACTTGTTGTTATTGAAAAGATGACAAGTATCTGGGGGAATTAAAATTTAAGTAGGAACGATAATGTCTACCCCAATGTGTTTAACAACCAAATCTTTGTATAATATATCTTTTTTCTTTAAGTGCAATTGCACTTAATCATTATCTTAAGTAGGGTCAACATGATTATATGATATATTATTTATGTATCTATTCAATTAAATATTATTTATTTTACAGTTAATAAATTGGGATGAAAGAAATTAGGTGTGGAGATCACGTCTAACATAAATTTAAAATATAAGTTATGAAAAAGGAGAAATTAATTTGTTAAAATATATACAAAAACTAATTCTGCAACTTTAATATTACTATAAAATTAGTTTAGTATTATTATTATTATTATAAAAATAATTTTATGATTTTAAGTTTACAAATAGTAAATTTAGAGATCAGAAATTAACCTGAAGATGACCACATGGTTATGAATTATGATAATTAGTTCATAAATTATTTCGTACCTTGACGATATTTTTCTATGATATTAATTATTTGATATAATACTTGAAGCTTTATTAGTCAATGGCAGTAAATATTTTCAACCCTTTTTAACAACAAATAAATTTGAATTCGAAATTTTTTATTCAACTGCAAATTCACTTTAAATTTTGGAGCTTTGTCCGTCAGTGATGATAGTATTTTCAACCCCTTTCAACAACGAAAAATCAATTTGAACAAAAAGATAGAAATGACTCTTATTTTTCAATGAAAGCACATGGTATTGTGTTTTTGTTTTAGTGAAATTTGGAATGGCTACAAATGAAGATCAATTGAGGAACATTTTCTTCTTTCGTTTGATTTAAATGTTATGGTATTTTAATTCGGGTTATGGGTGGGTAAATTATGAAAGATGGGTGGATTTTTTAATTTTGAGTAAAATTTTTAAAATAAAATTTGATAAATTATTGAGATAAAGCCGTCAGTTAGTTTTAAGGGTATACACAACCCAAAAGTTTGACGATAAAGATATATACAACTTTAAAGTATAACATAGGATATTACAACAACAACAACAACATACCCAGTGAAATCCCACAAAGTGGGGTCTGGGGAGGGTAGAGTGTACGCAGACCTTACCACTACCTCGTGGAGGTAGAGAGGCTGTTTCCGGTGGACCCTCGGCTCAAGTACATCCAAACCAAGCAAGAGGAGAGGAAACATTATATATAACATAACATCCAATAAGAGAAAAAGGGGCATAATCAACAACGGAGACAATAACATCAAGCAAGTACTGTGAGAGGCGAAGCGCAGTAAACAACATATGACTATAGGATCACAGACAAGAACTACAAGTGCCAGGCTAGGACTACTACAAACCCTACCAACCCAAACCCTCACAAGGAAAGACAACCCGCTAACCCTACTAACCTTCAACCTTAATACGCGACCTCCACTCCTTCCTATCTAGAGTCATGTCCTCGGTGATGTGAAGCTGAGCCAAGTCCTGTCTAATCACATCTCCCCAATACTTCGTAGGCCTACCTCTACCCCTCCGCGTATCCTCTACCACCAGCCCCTCGCACCTCCTCACTGGAGCGTCTGCGCTCCGCCTCTTCACATGCCCAAACCATCTCAGTCTCGCTTCCCTCAGCTTGTCCACCACAGGAGCCACTCCCACCTTCTCCCGGATAACCTCATTCCTAATCTTATCGCTCCTAGTGTGCCCACACATCCATCTCAACATCCTCATCTCCGTAACATGCAATTTTTGAACATGTGAGTTCTTGACTGGCCAACACTCCGCTCCATACAACAAGGCCAGTCTAACTACCACTCTGTAGAACTTACCTTTAAGTTTAGGTGGAACTTTCTTATCACACAAGACTCCATAAGCAAGCCTCCATTTCATCCAAGCTGCCCCTATGCGATGTGTGACATCATCGTCGTCAATGTCACCGCTTCCTTGGATTACAGCCCCAAGATACTTAAAACTTTCTTTCTTAGGAATGATCTGTGTGTCAAGTTTCACTTCCCCATCTGCCTCATCCAACGTATCACTGAATTTGCACCCCAAATATATAATTCGAGGATATATTTATTCTTTCCCTTTAGGAAATTGAGATTTTTGAATTTGTTAGTTATTTAGATAACTGGGTGTCTATTGTGAATATAACTAAGATGGAGGACCCATGTAGGAATATGTCAAATTACATTTGGAATCCTGGAAAGATGCCTATTTATTGAAGAGTAAATTAATCTATTACGACTATGTTATGAAGTTGTCTTTTATTTCTTAGTTGCTTAGATTAATTTTGGAACCTCCCTCCATTCTTATCTTTTGTTTTAGTCTAATTGCAAATTTTTTCTTGAATGCTGATGAAATTATCAAAAAATCTTGATTTTAGTAAAATTGCATATTATGGAACTTAGAAGGGTGTGATCATGTACTCCATTTGATCCTAAAATAAGTGTCACTTGCGTCTACTCAAAAATCAACAAACATAAGCTCATCTTTACGTGTTTATATTTGACTAATATATACATACTTAAAAAATATTAAGTTCAAATAAACCTAATATCGAAATACTGAATCCGTAACCACTTGTTAGCTACTATCAATACGTAATTCTCTTATTTTGGGGGGTGCCTCACGTCAATTAATAGAACAATTTCTATTTTTGGCTTAATTAGAAATTAACTTATTCTCCTTAATTTTCTTAGACAAATATTTTAGCAATTCAAGATGAATTTGTCTTTTAAAGTTTTTATCGTTAAATTCATTGTACTTTTAATTTTTTTTGTGTGTTCATATATATATATATATATATATATATATATATATCTTTTGGTAAGTTCTCACATAAAATTTTATACACTTGAATTTGGATAACTAAACAAATATAGTACAAAATATTAGTGGTGGACAAATATTATAGCTAAATAATAAAATTTATGATTAATTTTATTTAGTAACGAGCTAGCAATAAATTGTCAACATATCATATTAGTTACGAGTTACATACCTAACGACAGATTAACAACAAAGTTCACAACTAATTTCAATTATTAATTTTTGATAGTGATCGAATTTGCCCATGATTGTGATATCAAGATTGTGATGTATAGCTAGAGATTATTAGTTCAATTTTTAGGCGAATCATATTATTGAGACGTTTTGAATTCTTAAAATAAAATAAGTGGATAAGAACCTTATCAAGGTTTTGTAAGGTAGAAGGAACTAATTTATACCTAAAAATTGCTTCATTTATTCCTTTTAGAGAAGTGTTAGGCCTACTAACTACTTGTTCAAATTAACAACAACTATAATAACGTATCAAGTATAATTTAATAAGTACAATCTAGAAAAAATAGAAGTATATATAAATTTTATTCATATTTTATAGAAATAAAGAGGGTGTTTCCGAAAGACTCAGACTCAGGTCAGTTACTTGACCGGGTCAACAACAACAACAATAATAACATGTCTAGTGTAGTTTCATAAGTTGAGTCTGAAAAATATAAAGTGTACACGAACTTCCTTCTTCACGGAGATAAAGAGATTGTTGTCGAAAGATTAGGTTAACTACTTGGTCAAGTCATGATGATTGATTTGATCGTGGAGAAGTTTTCTTGAATAACTTTGTAGTGTCTTGGATGAGGCTGGTCCTCCCTTAATCAGATGATCATGTTTTAAGTTCAAGCCCTGAGTATGAAAAGATTATTAATAGGATGCCTTACCTCTCCCGAATGAGACCTTATCCAATGTGAATCTAAATTAGTTGGACTCTAATATGAATACCAAACACCAGATTGAAAAACTAAAAAACACAGAAGTCTTCTTATTTCAAAAATACATGTAGAAGAGTATGAAACTAACAATATTCTTGAATTTTATTGATAGTGTCTCAATATAGTATCTTTTTCCCCTTTTACACCCTCTAATGATCTCATTAATTTGAAATTAACAAGAATTTTTCTTCTTCTATCTACTAAATTTGAAAATATTCACAAACATGCCTAGTTATATCTATTGTTTTTCTACCATACAATAAAATAAATTTTAATATTT